GTGTTTTATATTATTTTTGTTAATTTTATAATGTTAAACTTTAATAATAACAAATAATTGTTGAGAACTGATTATCGAGAACTGCTTATCAAAGTTTACACTGTTGTCAGGCCCCGCCCCGCCAATGGTGTCCCGCTTTACCAATGTTAAAATCTGGTCACCTTACATTAGAGAGAAAGTGGTAGCCATATATACCCTTTTATCCCTAAACACCTAAATAATACTTTAATGTATATTTTATAATAATAATGATATTCTATTATATGATCACAGTACAGTTACCTAAATCAGGAATTTTTGTTTTGTTTTGTTTTTTGAGACAGCTCCCAGTTGTCGCCCTGGGTAGAGTGCTGTGGCATCACAGCTCACAGCACCCTCCAACTCCTGGGCTTAAGCAATTCTCTTGCTTCAGCCTTTCAAGCATATGGGACTATAGGCACCCTCCACAACACCTGGCTATTTTTTGGTTGCAGCCATCATTGTCGTTTGGCAGGCCCAGGCTGGATTCAAACCCACCAGCTCTGGTATATATGGCTGGTGCCTTAACCTCTTGAGCCACAGGCACTAAGCCTAAATCAGGGAATTTTAAATTGATACAATGCCAATAGCTCATGGACCTTTAGTTAAAATTCTAATTTTGCCTATTGTTATAATCTTTTTTTATTTTTTTTTTAATTTAAGAATATTACAAGAGTATACATGTTTTGGTTATGTAATTTGCTTTTGTACATTTTAAGTCCAAGTTATAAGTGTGCCCTTCACCCAGAAAATGTGCATTGTACCAATTAGCTGTGAATTTACCCAACCCTTCCCCCCCACCTACTTTATTTCTGTTGAGATTTACTTCCACTTGTGCACATAAGAGTTGATTGACTAATTCTGATTTATATTAAGTATCTGTGGTGTTTGCTTTTCCATTCTTACTGTACTTCACTTAGAACAATGGTCTTCAGTTCTATCCAGGATTTACAAAAGATAGTGGATCACCAATTTTTTATGGCTGAGTATACATATAACACCACATTTTATTAATCTACCCATGTATTGCAGGACACTTGTGTTGGTTGCACATCTTAGAGATTGTTAATTATGCTACTATAAACGTTCAAGTGAAGGTGTCCTTTTTTATAAAATGTCTTTTTTTCCTTTCGGTAAATACCTAGCAGTGAGATTGCTAGATCAAATGGGAGGTCTACTTTTAGTTCTTTGAGGTATCTCCATGTGCCTTCCTATCTTCCATAGATGTTATACTAGTTTGCTGTCCCTCCAAAAGTGTACAAGTGTTCTTTTCTCTCTGCATATACACCAGCATTTGTTGTTTTAGAATTTTTTTAAGTAATCTTTTTTTAAAATTTTTTTCATTTTAAATTAATATGAGGATACAAATTTGTAGGTTATATTATTCTCACTTCCATGGTAAAGTTCAAGTTGTAGTTGAGCCTTCACCCAGGGGGCCTGCTGAAACTCTCACATTGTGTACATTAGGTGAGATCTCACCAATTGCCCTTTCTTCTCCCTCCAGTCTCTCCTCCTTCCACCCTTCGCCCTCCTCTTCCCTCCCCCTCGATAGACTATATTTGTGTTTTATTGTTCGTGTGGATGTGCAATTGTTTATATATTGGTTTCATATTAGTAAATGTTTTAATTTGATCAGGTCCAATTGTTTATTTTTGTTATTGTTATGATTGCTTTTGGAATCTTCTTTATAAATTCTTTTCCTGGGCCAATATCTATGAGTTTTTCCAAAATTTTCTTCTAGAATTCTTATAGTTTCATGCATTAGGTTTAAGTCTTTTATATACATATCCATCATGAATTAATTTTTGTGAGTAGTGAAAGGTGAGGATCCTATTTCAGTCTTGTACATGTGGCTATCCAGTTTTCCCAGCTCCATTTATTGAATAGCGATTCTGTCCCCCAGTGTATGTTTTGTCTCCTTTGTCAAAGATCAAATGGGAATATGAGGACAGTTTTCTCTCTAAGTTTTCTGTTCTGATCATTGGTCTATATCTCTGGTGTTGTGCCAGTATCATGATGTTTTGATTCCAATAGAGCCTTATAGTGTAGCTTAGAGTCTGCTAAAGTGATGCCTCCTAAATTATTCTTATTACATAAAGTTGCATTGGCCATTTGGGGTCTTTTTGATTCTACTATATGAAGAATAGAGCTATTTTTTTTAGATCTGCAAAAATTGATGTTGGTATTTTAATGGGTATTGTGTTGAATCTATAAATCACTTTTGGCAATATTCATTTCTACAGTCTTGAAAGGGCTTTTCCTAATTATTATTGAAATCAAAGTTTTGACATTTTGACATCCCAAATATTTTAGGAGCATTAAAATTAATATAGTAAATGGTTGCTTTTAGATATAGATGTGATTTTTTTTCATTTTTAGTTTTCACAATTGTAGATTACATTACTTAACAACTTAAATTATTGTTTGGGGCTTGTAACTTTTTTTTTTTAATTCTGAACCTGAATATCTGTGTGTTCTAAATTACTCAGCTAATCCATTAGTTTAATTACTAAAAGAATGTTCAGATAACTGTAAGAGTTGTTAATTGTCTTCTTAAATATATATTTATGTAGTAAAACCTCATATGATTCTTTATTAAAAGATTAAGCATTTTGCTTTTACAACTGGAACTTTACCTTGGAAGTGAGAACAATGTAATCTAAAAATTTGTATCCTCATATTAATTTGGAATTTAAAGAAAAAAAGCTTAAGCATTTTATAGGAATTAGTCAGATTTTTTTTTTTTTTTTGAGACAGAGCCTCAAGCTGTCACCTTGGGTAGAATGCCGTGGCATCATGGCTCACAGCAACTTCCAACTCCTGGGCTCAAGCGAATCTCCTGCCTCCACCTCCCAAGTAGCTGGGACTACAGGGACCCGCCACAACGCCTGGCTATTTCATTGTTGTTTGGCGGGCCGGGCTGGATTTGAACCTGCACCCTTAGGTGTATGTGGCTGGCACCTTAACCACTTGAGCCACAGGCTCCGAGCCAATTAGTCAGATCTTGAGAAGTCATTTCCTAGATAGTTTGGTACACTTAGCCCATTGTCTTATTAGTCTTTGATATAGAAAGGTGAGAAATTCGACTGATAGAGATATTGTGACTTACTTGAGAAAAAAACAGTAAAAGTTGACAAGAGGAAGCTAATTCACATGTATTATTATGTCTACCAAATTATGAATTATATTCTCCAACCAGATATATCCAGGCGACAGAGTCCTTTAGTAAGAATTAAGACATTCTTTGTCAATAACAGATGAGATAAGTCACTTTGTTGATGACAAATACTAAATCATTAGCATGGTAGAAATCAAAATCTAGTTTTCCTGATACCTGGCCCAATGTTCTTTTTCCTAGATACATTGTTTTCTGGTATAAAGAGTGTTCATTTAAATCATAGTTTTTACATGGCCATGGATAACTCTAGAAATATATCTGGTACTAATAGCTGCTTCTAAACCTTAAAAACATTTGAAAAATACAGCAATAGATGGATGTAGTCAGTAGATAAGCAACCACTAAAAAACGTTAACACCAAAACTAAACCAAACACTACACTCCCTCTGTTATATAGAATTATAGGGCCAGACATTCATAGTTGAAACTCTCCATGATATGAGAAACTACGTATGATTTCAAGTAATTACAGGTATAGAAACTATTTTTTAAAATCATAGCCTTGATAAGAATATATTTTAAATGTACCTTTTAGTCTTCAAAATAGTTTACTTCTCATTAATGTTAACAGCTGTCTCTCTTTTCTCTTTTATAGCTTGGTAAGTAATAGGACTTTTTCTGTCTTTTTCACTGGTCAAGAAACTATTTCTATAAAGGGCCAGATAGTAAATATTTTAGGCTTTGGAAGCCATATAGTCTCTGTTGTAACTACTCAGCTCTGCCTTTGTAGAATGAGGCAGCTATATATAGTATGTAAATGAATGGATATGGCTATGGTCAATAAAATTTTATTTACAAACACAGGCAGCGACCTATATGTATGGTAGATCTCAACTCTGGATAGACATTAGAATTACTTGGGGATTCAGTAAGCTCCCATTTAACAGGTCCAATGTAAGAGTATATGGCACAGCTCCTGGGTGAAGGACTCAACTACAACTCAGACTTCACCTAACAAATGTAAATAATATAACCTAATCATATTAATCTGAAATAAAAAAGCATCACTTGAAGAGCTAGTTTTAAAAAGTCACTGGTACACCCCACCCTTAGTGACTCTGATTTAAGGACTCTGAGAAGGGGACTATGACGTGGCTTCACAACTCTTCAGCTGATTCTAAAGTATAGCCAGGGTTGAAAGCTATTAATGTATGATCTTTAAAAATTACCTATGTCAAATTGATTAGTGATATTTTTCCAGCTTTTTTCTTTATTTTTAATGGAAAAATAGTAATTGCATATTTTTATAAGATCCAATGCAATGTTTTGGTGTATATATACTTTGTAGAAAGATCCAATTGAGCTAATTACCATATCTATCATCTCATCAACTTACTATTTTTGCAGTGAGAACATTAAAATTTTATCTATTCCTTTAGCAGTTTTAAAATATACATTATTATTAATTATAGAAACCATGCAATGGAATAGATCCCTAAAACTTATTCCTCTGGAAACTTTGCTCCTTTTAATCAACATTTTACCTTTAACTATCCCTCCTCCCCAGCCTGTGGTAACCACCTTTCAACTCTGTTTCTTTGAGATCAACTTTTTTTTTTTAGATTCTTGAAGACAG